GCAACCGCTCAAATGTCCATTAGTTGACGAATGACTACAGAAAACATGATACACCTACATGCTTTGGTTTCGGTCTGAAGTGCCCCCCAAACTCCATGTGTTAAAGGTTTGGTTCTTGGTTTGTGCTGCTGGAACATGACAGGTACCTTTAAAAGGTGCAAGGTAGTAGAAAGCTATGATCATTGGGGAGATGTCCTCAAAGGAGATTGCAGGACACAGGTCTCTTGTCCTGTCTGTTTCCAGGTGATGAGGTGAGTGGCCTCCTCTACCACATGCTCTTATCATGAGGTGCTGTCTCCCCACAGGCCCAAAGGTAATGAGACCAATCAGCCTGAAAACTCCAGAAAGATGAGCAAAAATAAACTTTTCCTCTCTTTCAATTGATTACCACAGATATTTTGTTACGGTGACACAAACCTAATACACAATATGATGGAATACTTTTTTTTGTACCAGGACTCAGGCTCAGGACCTTGCACTATATCCCTGCCTCAATGGTAGAATTTTATTCATCAATAAAATGGAATGAAGTACTGGTACATATTACAACATTAAAAACCTAGAAAATCTTATGCTGAGTGAAAGAAGCCAGTCACAAAAGGTCACATATTGCATAACTATATTTATATGAAATGTCCAGAACAGGCAGATGCATAGACAGAGAAAGTAGGTTAGGAGGTAGCAAGCTGCAGTGGCACATGCCTATAGCCCTCCACTCAAGAAACTGAGGTGGGAGAGTCAATTGAGGCCTGGAGTTCAAGACCAGCCGGGAAAACACAGTGAGACCCTCATCTCAAAAATGAATGAAGCAAAGATTTGCTAGGTATGGTGGTGCATGCTTGTAATCCCAGCACTCGGGGGAGGCTGAGGCAGGAAGATCACTGTGAGTTTGAGACTTGCCTGGGCTACAAAGTAAGCTCAAGGCCAGCCTGAACTGCATAGGGAGCCCCTGTCTCAAAAAGACAAGAAAAAAAAAAAAAAGAATGAAAAAAAGGAGATTAGTAGGATTGTTAGGGCTGGGAGAATAGGAAAAATGGGAAAAATGAGAGTAAATGCAAAAAGGCATAAGGGTTTATTTTGTGATGATTAAAAGTGTTCGGAAGTTAGGTAATAGTGGTGATGGTTGCATGACTCTGTGAATGTACTGAAATAGTGAATTTTGCATTTCAAAAAGATTAGTTTTATGGAGTGTGAAGTATAACTCACTAAAATCATTAAACATACTTTCATGCTAGTGGTTTTACTTTTCTTCAAATGGATCTTTAGGAGTCTGATACTTTTTCCTGAAAAAAATTTTTGCATCTTGATATAGAAGAGCTAATAGAACTTATTCTCATATTATATGCTCTAGAAATGTTAATAAATTTGAATTTGACGGGCCTGTCCACTATTCCCTAAATTGTATGTGTCTTAATTTCTCTTCTCTTGTTACTGGGATAAAATATGTGACACTCCAAATGAAGGAAGGAAATGTTTATTTAGCTCACTGTTTGTGGAGGTTTCAGTCCATAGTCATCTGGCTTCAAGGCTGGGTGGCACGGCACTAGGGCAACATCTCAAGGAAGCAGTCAGAGCAAAAGTGGGTTTGGGGGTAGAAAGAGTTAGCACTCACACCACCTCTGTGCCCTCCTCAGGATGAAGATATTTATAAAGTTAGGATCCTGGCTTCCTGCTGAGTCTAAACTTCTCAAGTTGACACAATGTATCACTCATTATATTATGTTATCTATGAGTTGTTTACCAGAAACTTTTGAATAGATCTGTGCCAGTGGTTCTATGTACCACATTTAAAACAGAAACATGAAAGCTATTTACTGGATTTTTGGTCACAATAAACAAAAAGATGGCTGGAGCTGGGATTCAGGGTTGTTTGCTCACATCTCTCACTAACCAACCCACATTTTCTCTATTTTTTCGGCAATGAGAGTCAAAACAAACCAACAGCCAGGTGTGGTGGCATATGCCTGGTACTCCTAGCACTTGGTAGGCTGAGGCAGAAGGATCTGAATGAGTTGGTGGCTGGCCTAGGCTACATAGTGAGTTCAAGGCCAGCCTGAACTACACATCAAGACCTTATCTCAAGAAAGAAAGAAGGAAGGAAAGAAGGAAGGAAAAGAAAGAAAGAAATCAAAACAAGCCAACAGTGATCATCATGGCTTCAGAAACCTGTGACTTCTGGGAATCAGATGCAAAATGTTGTGACAAGGGTCACAACAGCTGCAAAGTTTTATAAGCGCCTCTAAGAGGGTCACTGGTCAACATTTGGGGGACACACGCCAAGTGTGGTATATTTAGATTCAGTATATGTGTCTGTGGTTTAGTTTGCTTAGTCTTTACCCCTTCTGTTTGTCCTAGGATCTTCTCTTCAGGAGTGCCGAGAGAGCCTTTTCCCTGAACTCTACAGGGCTGTTGGAGCATCTTTCCTTGTCATCTGGTTGCTGAATTAGGAGAATGAAATGTATGAGATGACTGTACCTCTCCTCACTCTGCTCCTTCTATGAAGAACTCCCGATTGTCCACTGGAGAGGGGAGCAGGGGCCCGCTGGAGTGGCCAGGAGACGGCGAGATCCAGGCCAGCGTTTCTCTCTCTTTCACCTTTCCTTCCCTTCCCACCTGCCTCCTCCCATCCTAGCAGAGGGAAAAGAAATTTTAGCCAGGCAAAGGTAGGGGTGGAAAGCGCCAGGGAACAGATAGTGCGTTAAAGGCACAGGGATGAAAAACAGCGCGGTTGGGGAGATCTGGTTCCCCGGGCGGCTAAGAGGGGGTGAGCTCAGCGCTAATAGGATCGGCCATGGCGAATCTCCCAGCAGGGCACGCACTGCACGGAGGGCTGAAGCACCGGGGTGGCTCGAGGTCAAGATTAGAGGCCCAGGAGTGAGAGAGGGGAGCTTAAGGAGCCAGGTTGTGCAGCCAGGCCCGGGGCATGAATGTGCTCTCTCCAGGCCAAGAATAAAGACTTAGCCCCGCCTTCGACTGAAGGCAGAGGACCCGTGCCTCCCCTCTGGGGCACCCACTCTCCCCCACCCTGAGCCCGCCTTTGGCCTGGGTACTCGGAGGTGCTGGGCCAAGACCACCTCGGGATCGCGGATGTCTTGACCTGGAGCTGAGGGTCAGAGCAGATCAGTCCGGGAGGCGGGGGCAGAGAAAGAGGATGACTTTCCCTAGGATCTGTGCGCCCCCTGTTTGCCTCCCCCTCGGGCCCCCACTGGGTAGCACCCTTCTGATCCCCTTATAGCTAAGTCGCTCAGGAAAATACCTTTCTGCAGGAGCCTTCTCGGAAGTGCTGCTCTGACGGCCCAGAAGCCATGAGCCCCGCAACCCCGGTAAGGAAGAGGTCCCGGGCCTGGGAGGGCCGCAGGGCGGGGGGCCCTGCTGAAACAGGGGTGGGACCAGTTTAGGCTCTGGCAGCTCCTGATCTTTGAATGATCTCCTGTGTCTGCTCCCATGTCTAAGTGGGGGTTTGGGATTCAGCTATTCAAAGAAATGACCCTGGAGGAGAGACTCAAGTGACAGATACAGAAACTTTCTTCCTTCCCCAGTTGAACTACCTCCAATGTTCCCCCTAGCCTGCGCTAGGCACTGAACCCAGGGCCTGCACACAGAGCTACATCCCCAGGCTCTTTTTAAAAAATGGCTTTGTGTTTTTGAGACAGAGTTTCACTAAGTAATTCAAGCTGGACTTGAACTCATTATGTAGCCCGGGCTGGTCTTGAACTCACGTCAATCCTCTTGCCTCTACTTCCCAAGTGCTGGGATTTTAATTTAAATTTTTTCTTTTTTAAACTCTAAGATAGTGTCTTAAGTTACTAAGTTGTCTAGGCTGGCCTGAACTTGCAGTCTTGTGGTTATATTCTTGAAAATGCTGTGGTTTTAGAACATGCCTGTCCTTATGTGCTTCCCAAGCCTGCATTCTATTTCTAAACACACCGGAGACCCATCAACTTTCTGAGCAGCGCTCATATGGAGCCCTTAGGTATCCTAGGAGGCTGTTACTCGTCCTGGGAGACCCCCCTCCTGTGTACCAGGAACTGTAGTAACTGCAGTGGCACCTTGCCCTGTGGACCCAGCCCCATTTTATTTTCCATTTTAAGACAGGGACTCATTAAGTCACTAAGTTCTGCCCAGATTGGGCTCAAACTTGAGATCCTCCTGCCTTAGCCCGCTAGAGTGCTGGATCACAGGTATGTACCACCGTACTCTTGTGAAACTGCTTCATGGCTTGTCCTTGGGAACAGTTTGGGTGCCCAGCTACCTCGCTTTTGGGCGCAACCATTGTTCATTGTTCCTCCTTTTCTTCTCCTTCTTCTTCTTCTTCTTCTTCCTCTTCTTCTTCTTCTTCTTCTTCTTCTTCTTCTTCTTCTTCTTCTTCTTCTTCTTCTTCTTTTTTGGTCTTTTTCTTTTTTATTGGTACCGGGGACTCAGGACTGCCTGCTTGCAAGGCAGGTGCTTATGCTGCTGAGCTAAATCCCCAGGTCCCCCACCCCCTTTTTTTTACTAGTTAGTTTCCTTGGCGGCTAGGATCTGAGCCGCATATTCCTAAGAAAAAGTATTTTTATTCTTTTTATTTTTCTTTATTTTTTAAAGAAAAAGTATTTTATGATAGAGCCTGGGAGTGTAGCACAGTGGTAGAATTCTTGCCTAGTATGTATGAGCCCCTGGGTTTGACCTCCAGCACTGCAACAAAAGTATTTCATCGTAGCAAACAAATGTCTTAATAGAAAAATAGTGTGGTCGCGCAAACCTGTACACTTAGCTACTCAGATGGAGGGCGCAGGAATATAGCTGGATGCTAACCTACGCAATATAATGAGACCACCGTCTGAAGGCGAGGATAGGGAGTATAAAGAGAAAAGAAGGAAAAAAATGGCAGGTGTAGCTCAGGGTCAGCACAAGACTGTCACCCCAGAGAGGGACTCTGGCCAACCTTAGGAAGCCGACTACAATTCCCATCATGCCTCACCCTCCGTAGCTCCTCCTCAAACCACGCCCCTCCTGGGGTGGGGCGGGAGGGTGGGGCCCTGGGGCAGTTAGGCCCAGGCAGTAGCCTGGGGAATGAAATGCCCCAGACGTACTGGGTGCAGAAAGCGCAGGCGCAGAGGGGTTAGGTGACAGCTGCATCGGGTATCAGGCAGTTTTGGCAGCACCAACCGCAACAGGTGTAGACAGGTGGGTGCATCACGGGGCGGGGTGGGGGTTGGAGAGGGAGTTTGGACCTGGCCCTCTTGTCTGATCTGTGCCAAAGTTTGAAGAGGAAAGGGGAGCGGCAGGAGAAACTGAGACAAGGCCAGGTCTTTCAGGTGTGTCAGCTCTGGTTACGCAGCAACGGGTGCGAGCAGGTGGGGGAGGGGAGGAGGCACTTGTTCAAAAATAAGTCGCCCACAGAAACAAAGGGGACTTGGATTCCAGTCCACGTTCCATCACATACGTAGGCGAGTCATCTGCTTTCTCTCAATGTGTCCAATTTGTGCATAGGTGCACAGATCCCCACTTAACGGGGTTACAGTGGGGACAAAGTGAGTTAGTAGTTTGTGCAGTGGCCCCCGCGCTTTACTGCACACCGCAATCATCGGGGGATCGTTAGGACCAGCAGGCCTTGCCTCCCAGTCACACATTACAGTTAGCACAAGTTTTCCTAGCACCTAGCACCTACAGTACAGTGGCGAGAAGCCAGGACTGCTGGGTGTGGGTCTTGGCTCCCGAGCTTACTGAGCAAGTGGGTGTGAGCAAGAGACCAGACCTCTCCAGGACCTAGTTTCCTTGTCTCTAAAACTGGACTAATAGCAAAGATTGTTAGGAGGCTTAAATAAGCCAATAAGTGAAAGCAGAACAGAGTACCCAACATGTAGTATTCAGTCATAATTGTTGCTAAATTATTACTTTATTCATTTTGTAAATGGCTCCCATGAGGTCCAAGTGTAAACGAGGCTTTTCTTAGACATGATGGTCCTTCATGCATTGTGATGGTTCTGATATTCTGTGCTGTCATTTCAAAATCCCATTTTCTAACACTGTGAGTTTTAAGAGTTGCTCAGGCCAGCCGCTGCCTGCTTTATAGACACCCTTCCACCTGCCCACCACACTTCCAGTTTCACAGCATCTGAGGCCAGGTGGGAGATGCAAGGAGAAGGGATTTGGCGCAGTTCTGGAGCTGACACTGGAATCCAGGGTTCTGATCCCAACCCCCACTGTATCCCAGAGGGCGGCTGCCCTGCTGACCCCACAGGACAGAGGACAGAGCTCCCATTCTCTGTCTGGAGCTGAGGACAGGGAGGAGATGGAGGCTGCCTGGCCTTGTTGTTTACTAACACTGCCTTAAGCTTTCCTGGTGCCTCCCCAGGGAGGATGGGCTGGGGGCTTCTCTCTGGGGAGTTGCTCTGGAGCTGCCAATGAGACCTGTGTGTCCTGGCTCCTCTGCAGGTCCCATCTGATTCCACCCTGGAAAGTCCTTTTGAAGAAATGGCCCTAGTGAGGGGCGGCTGGCTGTGGAGACAGAGTGAGTGACCCTGAATTATGCCTTTGTCTGTCCTGTACCTTATTCTGGGGCAGGGGTGTGGGGAAGTGGTGTGTTAGCCCAGTAACAGTGTCCTCAAGAAATCAGAACCTCCCCAAGAAATCAGAACCCTCTAGCTTCTCCTTTGTCTCTGCTTTTCCCTCTGCCCAATGTCCTTTCTCCTTCCCAAGTGCTTGGCAAGCCTCTGCTTACCTCTTCAAGACCAAGTGCAAGATCCCTTCTTGGATGAGTCTTTTCCAGCCTTTCCTGTAACCCCAATCCTACCCCTGTAGCACCAAGCTGGGTCAGAGGGTCCCTTTTAACTCTTAAGTTCCCACAATGACCTGTAATACAACCATCATTACCTGTGGGTCTCCTCACTCCTGTGCTCTATACTGGCCCTCTGCATAGGCTAGACACAGAAAAAGGTCCCAGAACAAAATAAAAAATCCTAGGGGCTGGGGATTCAGCTCAGCAGCATAAGCGCCTGCCTTGCAAGCAGGCAGTCATGAGTTTGATCCCCGATACTGATAAAAAGGAAAAAGACAAAAAAAAAAAAAAAAAAAAAACCTTCTGCTTGGGAATCTGTAAAGCCCTCTTATTCCTTTCTCTTTTCCTGTTAGGATTCTAGTTGCAAAATGTCTGAAGCTAGCCGGCGGTAGTGGCACAGGCCTGTAATCCCAGCATTTGGGAGGCTGAGGCAGGAGGATCGGTTGTGAGTCCAAAACCAACGTGGGCTACAGAGTAAGCTCAAGGCCAGCCTAAGCTACATAGCTAGACTCTATCTCAAAAAGACCAAAATAAATAAAAAGCCTGAAACTATAATGGTCTGAGGTTTCCAGAGTCATAATCTGAACAATAGCTCTCCTGGGATCTCTGGATCCCAGAGCTCCCATGCCCCATGTCCATTAAGTTCAGCAAACACTGAACAAGGGTCCTACTAGGTTTCCGGATCTATGTGGGGAGTTAAGACCCTAACCTAGTGGAGATGGCAAAATAACAGAAATGACTGTCACACGAGCCAGAGATATGAGATGAGATGGAAGCTCAGAGATGGAGAGAAGTCTTTTCCCTTGAAGAGATTTTGGGCTGGGCCTTAGGAACTACCAAGCAATATTTGATCATTCACTCACTATTTAACACATTTATTGAGCTTCTATACATATCAGGGTAGTGGGAAGAAGGGAGAAAGACAGAAGTCCTGCCCTCAGTTCAGGAAGTACATAGACAAGGAAGAAGTTAAACACTGGGCGCCAGGGCTGAGGACTCTGGGAGCCCAGGTTCTGGGATCAGCCCGCCTTATGGTCTGGACTTTCCTGCAGGCTCCATCCTTCGCCGCTGGAAGCGGAACTGGTTTGCCCTGTGGCTGGATGGAACTCTGGGCTACTACCATGACGAGACAGCACAGGACGAGGAAGACCGTGTGCTCATCCACTTCAATGTCCGTGACATAAAGGTTGGCCAAGAGTGTCACGGTGAGCAGAAGCCCTTCTGTGGCACAGGGATGACAGGCAGGACTCTCCCACCGTGTCTGAAAATAGCAGCAAATGGAAAGCTCTTGAAGCTTTCTAGAAGATTCACAGACACTGTTCCCAGGTCTTTGTGAACTCTTTAGTTAGATCTGAATTAAGAAACCTGTCCTTTATTGAGTTTCTCCCCTTTATTGTTGCAGAGGTTTAAGTCAGATGAACTGGCATTAGGAATTGGATGAACATGAAATAGAGTCGAAAAGAAGTGACTGTCCCAGAGTCACACAGCACATGTCCAGATTCTTCAAGCAAGGCTCAGCCACAGTTATACCAGGATAACTGAGAGATAGGTGTGCCTCAGAAGCCAGTAATGTAAACAAGTTAAGAGGGAAGAGTAGAGCAGAACCCAAGAAGGTGTGTGGAATCAGAAAAAGTTAGCAACAACCAGGAAATAGGATCCAGAAAAGTCAGTTCCTGCTTGAGTTCCTGATGACTAGCAGGACCTGCGGCCCTTGGAAACCTCCATATGTGTGTCTGCTTCCAGACGTGCAGCCCCCAGAGGGCCGGAGCCGTGATGGGCTGCTGACCGTGAACCTGAGGGAAGGCGCCAAACTGCACCTGTGCGCGGAGACCCGGGATGATGCCATGTGAGTGGCTCCAGGGAAAGGATGGAGAGGCTCTCGGGGAGCACAACCAGATGCCCCCTCCTCACTGGGCCTTCCAGAACCCTGGTGGTAGGAACAGGGAGAAAGACCAGTCAGCAAGGTTGTGTCCTGGAGGCTGGTTGGGGCAGACTTGAATGGCTCCTAGTGATTGGTGTGGTGCACAGGGAGCTCAATGGGAAGGCAGAATGCACAGGCCTGCAAGTGTGTGGTGTCAAAAGAGGTTAGTGGTGATCAGGGAACAGGACTGGTCAGATTGAGGTATGTGGCAGCCTCACTGGGTGCTATGGAGGTGCAGCCAATTGTGTCCTCAAAGGGCCCTCCCTCCCCTCCCTCTAAGCAAATGCCCTGGTAGCAGGACTTGGATCTGAGAGGCAGACCCAAACCTGCATACAGAGGCAGCTGCCTGTGCCCCATATCAGGATAAATCCAAACTTGGAGTCTGGGGCAGGTACCATCTCCCCCCGCCCCCCATTCCTTCTCTTCCTACTCTCTGACTGAGGTCTTTGGCCTCTGTGCTAGAGGACAGTGAAAGAGATGGGTGTGTGGGAACAGAGGAAGCTGAGCTCTAGAGAAACAACACAGAGCCGCCTTGTCTGCCCCAGCCAGCTGCCATGGCAACCAACAAAGGCCCAACTGTCTGTTGTCCACTGGGCATTTCTGGGGCTCTAGGGTCGGAGTTTTGGGGCACTGTGCTTGTGGGTTTTGGATGGGGAGGTGGGCTGCTGCTAGAGAACCTGCCCAGGCATGTTACAGTGGGAAGCCCCTCAGAGACCCCTAAGTCCAACTGTGCACCGTGTAGATGGGGAAACTGAAGTGTATAAAGGGGAGAAGAAAAGACAATTGAGTGAATTAGCCTAACACGGGGTGCATCCGTGGGACAGGGGCAGGGAGGGCTTGCTTATTTACCTGAGTCAGTCAGGAGGATCTTCCCCTTCCAGAGAGACTGGGACTAAAGCCTGGCTTGGGGAGGAAAACCTAGAATGTAAGAGCCACTTTCCCTTCTTGTTTTGCAGAGCATGGAAGACGGCGTTGCTGGAGGCAAATGCCACCCCGGTGAGCCCCATTCTTCCCCTCCTCCCAGCTCCATGTGCCATGGAATCATGGATGACTCAGACTCTGTCTCTACCTTCCAGGAGCTCTTAAGCTAGTAGGCAGAGGCTTGTACAAACTCAGACACCCAAGTCCCGTGTCTATAAAGGGGAGAGGATAGCCAGCTGGCACTCCAGGGAGGAGTGCAGAGAAGCTTCCCCGGAAGACTTGAAAGGGGTGATGTGGGAGCTAGGGAGAAGGAACTTTTATCGAGTAACTATTATGTGCTAGACATGGCAAAGATATAATTCTAGAACCATCCTGGGAGATTGTTCTCTCTCTGAAGATAATTAGGCTGAGATTCATTCACACACACAACCCATATTTGCTAAGTTCCTATGTGCCAGGCTCTGTACCAAGGTCCAGGGATCACAAGTAAACCAAAGGGATATGGGCCCTTGCCCAACCCCCTGGACTCAGTGAGGAGCTAGATATGAAACAACTAATTAGTAGGGGCTGGGGATTTAGCTCAGCGGCATAAGCACCTGCCTTGCAAGCAGGTGGTCGTGAGTTCAATCCCTGGTACCAATAAAAATGAAAAAGACAAAAAAAAAAAAAACTAATTAGTGATTCCATCTCCGCTGTGCTAACAGCTCTAATGGATACATGCAGTGGGTGACCCCCTGGGTGTCCTGATCCATGTGGAAGTTCAGATGAGGCTTAAGCTGAGACTTGAAGCACAAACAGACTTTGGGTAAAAGGTGTTGGGATGTGGAGAAGGAAACAGCTTTGCAGGCAAAGTGAGCAGCATGTGTAAAGGCCCTGAGAGGGGTTAAGGTGTTGGCAGGTTGAGGAGCATAAAGAATATGGGGTGGCTGGAGCTCAGGGAGTGAAGGTCAATGTTGCCTGAGTTAGACCTTGGGGAGCTTGTGTTAAAGATGTTGGTTTCTTCTGACAGCACCAAGAAGGCCTTGAAAGTTTAAGCAAAGATATGTTGTGGTCAGATTAGAGAAGGTTTGTATTGTAAAAAGACAGGCCAGTAGGTAGGAAATGGATTGTAAAGGAAAGGTGGAAATCCTGGGAGCATTTCGGAGGCTGGGACAGTGTCTCTGGCACAGGCCAGAGGCCCGGGATAAGGCCTTGCTGGTAGAAAAGGCTGAGGACTGCTGGAGCTGTGGGTTCGAAATGCTGCCAAGGAGGCCTAGCATGGCTTCAGCCTCAACCTGCCAGATTCTAGAACCTGTGCCTTCTCCTTTTGTTTGTGGCACAGTGGCGCCTCCTCTCATCTAGAGAGACAGTCTCCTGGGAAGTGGCAGAGGAGACTGGGACATACTTAGAAACCCCCTTGGGCATCCACCTACTGAGGGCCAGGCGTTGACTGTGCCAAGCACCTGGTTACATCATTTCATCCTCTGGCAACCCGAGAGTGGTGGTATCACCAGGCCTCTTTTACAGCTAAGAAGCTGAGGCTCTGAGAAGGGACTTGTCCAAAGTCTAAGAGTGCTAAGCCAGAGGAAAAGCCTGAAATTGAGGCTCGGCCAGTGAGGTTTGCAAGGAGATCATCATCTGCAAAAGGAGCTGTGTGAGCAGAGGCAGAGAAGTGATGTGTGCGTGTGTGGTCACAGGATGTGTCTGAGACCCCGCATCTGGCCCAGCTGGAAGGGTTAGCATGGAGGGAATAACACTGGAGGAATGACCTCTCAGGTCATTGGACCCAGGGTCTCAGAACCCAGCTGGAAGAACTAGGCTTTTCCTAAAGCTTGTGAGAGCCAGTAGGAGGGCTGCTCTGGGCTTCTGGGTGGAGAGTGGGTTGGAGGAATCTGGCGGTGAGGAGGTGGACCAGTGGTCATCAGGGGGAAGATACCCAAGTTGGGCTAATGGAGCATTAAACTCCTGACCATCCTTGAGTAGGGCTGATGGGTTCCCTGAAGAAAGGTGGAAGGAAGGAGGTGAGAGCTGACGTTCTGTATCTGTGACTCTATGCAGCTGTCTTGTCCCTTTTCTGCTTGTCCACCCTCCTGCTGCTCTGTGGACCGCTACTTTCCCCCCTGCCTTCCTGTGTCCCACACACCTGCGCATTCCTTGGGACGCCCAGGGCTTATCAGAGCAGGCATGCTTGTGCCTGTGTGTCTTTCTGTGTCTCTGTGTTCACATCTGTCCCTGTGTCTATGTAGGACTGAACTGTGCTTTGTCCCCCTTGGAGCTATAGCTTTATGCTCCATTCTGGGTAGAAGCCTCGGAAGTCGTCCCTGACCCTGGCTGCACCAAGGAACATGGAACCTGGGGACACAGTCAGGGGCAAGCTGGGGTGTTAGTGATGGAAGGGGCCAGGAAGATGGGAGGGCAGATCAAGCCTACCTGTTCTTCCTGCAGACTGGGAAACCAGCTGCATGAAACAGGCCAGAGTGGGTTGGAAACAGGCTGCTGGCAGACTCCACTGAGTAGCCTGGCAGTCACCACCCCTCCCTGAGCCTCCCCACCTTGCCATGCACTGAAGAAGATGCCCACCCCCAACCCCAGCCCCTGCCCAGGAGCCGAGATGCACTGGTAGGGCCTGGAAAGAGCTCGGAGTCCCTCTGGGTGTAAAGGGCCTCTGACACCGCCCTCCCTACCCCCCCTCCCCCTTGGGTTTCTGCGGTTGAGCAGGCCCCAGCTGGAGCCACCGTCCCACCCAGGAGCCGCCGGTATTGCCCCAAGGTCAGGTGTGTGACCCACTCGTGGAGCCCCTGTAAAGTTGAGAGGCGGATCTGGGTAAGTGCTGGCTCATCCCTCCCTGCCTCCATTCTGGCCACCAGGATGAGCATCCAGAACATCCCAGCCACATCCTTTCTCTGCTCACAAATATCCCATGGCTCTCTGTCACTCACGGGACACCAAGCACAGTGTGGCTTTCGAGGCCTGTGGAATCTGGCTAATCTCACCTGCCGCATCCCCTCCTGCATGTGCCGAAGCCACTCTGCTGTCCCCTCTGCCTGGCCACTCCCCTCCCCTCTTCCAGGCACTGCACACGCTGTTCTCTGCTGCCTCCCCCACCTGACGGACTGATGCTCCTCCTTGAAGGCCATCTCAGAGGCTCCCGCCTCCAGAGTGAGGACTTCCCAGACCTGCAGGCACTGTGCTCCGTCCCACAGCAGATGTCACTATTGCTCAGTGCTGGCTTTATTTGACCTGGTTTATTCCTATCTGTCTGGCTTCCCCTGAGACCTGGAACTTCCTCCAAAGCAAAGACCAGGTCTTAATTAGCTCCGCCACTGTGGAGCCCGGCATGGGGTGGATACACAGTAGGAGTAAAGTCATTGCTCAGTGACAGGGACAGTCCATTCTGTCCTCCTCCCCCTAGCACACTGGAATGTGGTACAAATAAGTCTCGGACAATTTTCACTGAAGGAGGAAGGGAAAGATAGGAGGAAGGGAGGAAGAACCTCTGTGTAGCATCACTATCACTAATTGTAATTTAGTCTAGTTCTTTTTCTCTCTAACCTGAATTTTTCTCATTTAAACAGGACTTGGGCCTGAATCCTTTCTCTGTCCCCAGTGCTGAGCATAATGCCTGGCATGGGGACTCAATAGGATACTTGTGGTCTTAGAGTCACCTGTGAACTCTGTCTTGCTCAGTGGTGCTGTTAGAACTACTTAGGGACTTCCTACTTCTTGACCCGCAAATTTCATAGAACCAGGGTAGGGCCTGGGATATCTGTGCTGAGTCTAACATGGAACCACTTGGCCACCTAGTTAGAGAGAGATGGTTTGGTTAGAGTCTCACATTATCTTGGGAGAGAGTAGTGTGGGAAAAACAACTTTGCAAGGGAGGAAGCTATCAGTTCACCAGAGACAGGCCTAGGAGTTGGTCTTCATTCTGAGGTTTCCCCATGCCTTGACCTAGAATATAAGTTCATTTAAAGTGCTGATGTCAAAATGCAAGGCTTAAGAAACTGTAAACCTAATACACAGTAGTTTGTTTAAAGTAAGTTATTTCCTTATGACCTCCTGATTGACCAACACTGGCCCAACAACAAAAGAGGCAAAGAATTGAAGAGAGAGAGAGAATCAGAGATCGAATCCACAGGTTCTGTCTCTGAGGTCTCTGGGGTGACCCTGCTAGTTGCCAGGTGATCTGCCCGAGTTTACTTCTGGGCCTCCCAGACTTGGAAGGTAGAAACAAGTGTCTCAGGGGAAATGAGGTGGTATTTTCCACCCTTTCCAGGGGCCTCATCAGACCGCTGGCTCCCTGCAGCTACTGGGCAGGTAGAGCTTTGGACTTAAATTCCAAAGCATCACTGGATCACAGTGCTTCAGTTTCCAGCTCCTTCTGTGTTTAGAGCCCAGACTTTAACCACACTGACCAGCCTCACTGTATCACCATTGGGAGGCAGCAGTAGAGTTACTTGAGACCAAGGACCAATGCCATTACTTGTCTCGGTTTCCTGCATTGCCTGGAGACTGTTGTTCTCTCTAATTTGAATCTTATTTAATTCAAAGTTGGGCAACTTTGGTTCCAGTTTAGCCCTGTGGTTGAGTCTCTGTCGCCAAATTCAATAAATGTTTATTAGGCCCCTGGCATATTCCAGTTGGTTCTGATTGGACTTAGGGGTCTCTGAGCATGCTGGGAGAAACATTCATAGGGAAACGAAAACACATCATTGATCAGTGTTGTGAGTGGGGATGGTCCAAGGACTGTGAGTGTCCAGATAGGTGACCATAGAGCCTGAGGCTTAATGAGAGCAATACCCGAGTTGATTCTGAAAGACCAATTAGATAATTAATAAGGAAAGGTAAGAAGGAGTCTCTATCAGAGGAAAATGGCTTGGAGATGATCATGCTGTGGGCTTGGAGAACTTCCCCTTTATAGCCAGATTACTCAAGAGAAATGCCATGGCACACTGATGTCCTTTACCTCAGCCATTCTTCAGCCTTTTATGGTCTGGCTTTTTCCCTCCCATACATTCCTTGGAAGAGTGATATATATATATATATATCGCCAGCCTAATTTCTTGGTTTGAATGCATAGTGGTAGCATTTAGAGAAAAGCATTTACAGAAAGAGGACCAGCTGGGGAGATCGAGAGATGTAATCCCTTTGAGTTAGTGGCATTTGGGACAGCCTAGACTTTTAAAGGGAGTTGAACCACTCAGGTAGAAAGCCCAGTGAGAGACAGATATAGGATGAAAGGAGGTTAAGAATAAAGATCCAGGGCCAAGGGTTTAGTTTAGGGGTGTAAGCGCCTGCCCTGGCAAACACGAGGTCATGAGTTCTATCCCTGCTACCCCCCAAAAAAGTAAAGGTCCAGAAAAGAAGGGGAGCTTGCCACTTCTGTAGATCTGCTGCCCCATGAATAAAATGAAGGATTTAACATGAGTGTTTCAGGGCTGGAGGTTTAGCTCAGCGGCATAAGCGCCTGCCTTGCAAGCAGGCAGTCGTGAGTTCGATCTCCGGTACCGATAAAAAGGAAAAAGACAAAAAAATAAAAAAGAAAAGAAAATGAGTGTTTCAACCAGGTGTGGTGGTGCATCCCTGTAATCCCAGCACTTGGGAAGTTCGTTGCAGAGTTTGAGACCAGTTTGGGCTACAGAGTGAGCTCAGGCCAGCCTGAACAGCATAGCAAGACCCTGTCTCAAAAAGACAAAAGACAAGCAAAATGAGGGTTTCTGTTTAAAATAGAATATATTTTTTGGTTTCTGCTGTGCACTAGCTCTGCTGATGACACAAATTAATGAGTTATTGCCCAGAGGTAGTTTACATTAGGGTACAGGTAGGAAGGGACATAAGACAAGAAATAAGGCACAAACATAGTCCATTAAGAATTCAGGAAGTCCAGGTATGGTGCTTTATGCCTGTAATCCTAGCACTTGGGAGGCTGAGGCAGGAGGATCACTGCAAGTTTAAGGCCAGCCTGAACTACATAGGGAGACTGTCTAAATAAATAAATAAATACATTCAGAAAGGAAGAATTCTTTCTGAGACCAGATGAGTTGGGGAGCAAAGCAAGCAAGGAGTAAATTCCAGAGAAAGCACTGAATATTTTCTGAGCCTGAGTCCCAGCTCTGGTACTGCAGAGAGAATAATGCCTGGCGGTAACATGGATGGATACCTCCCTGCAGACCTGGTACACAGTAGATGCTCGATAATAGTTACTGGAGTTACTTTCCATTCCCCATCCTTTTTTCCTTTCTGTCCTCCTAAACCCCTTATTTCCTTACTGGGGCTTGGCCATATTCCCCTCCCTTCATCTAGGAGAATAAGCAATTGGCTTTCTCCAAGTCAGATCATTGTATAGTTGCTGGCAAAAACTTGACTACCCATGAAGGGAAATTGGGAGCCATGGAGAAATTTTTGAGGTAGATCAGGGCAGCAGAAAGGGCATGACTTGGGAACTGGATGAAAAAGCAGAAATTTTAGAAAGCAAGGACCTTGGATCTCATGAGAGGAAGGTCCTTTCTCTGAGAGGAGGCTCTCTGGGGTTGAGGCGGGTAGGAGGGGATTGGGGGAGGCCAAACCCAGGCCAGGGAGTTTCTGGGCAGCTGATCTGGTTGGATTCTCCAGGTGCGTGTCTACAGCCCATACCAGGACTATTACGAGGTGGTGCCCCCCAATGCACACGAAGCCACATACGTCCGCAGCTACTACGGGCCACCCTATGCAGGTAAGCCCCAGTGTAGCCAGTCTGAGGCCTCCCTAGATCCAGCACCAGGCCCTGCCCAAGGCCCATCACTCGAGACAAGGCCTAACCCTGTGGCTGATCTAGGATTTCCCAGAGCAGGGACTTCTGCAAACCTCTCCCAATCCGGTGATTGCTAATCCGCCTCTATACTCCAGATCTGAGATGCCTCTCCAGGCCAGCCCCCACTCGGCCCGCAGCCTCTCCACAGTTCCTGAGCCGATAGTGACCCCTCGTGGTTAATGCAGGGATGGCCACTCCCCGCGCCAAGGTCTGAGCTGTGAAAGCGCATCCGCCGTGCTCAGAGATCCTGGAGTTGCCCTGCTACTCTGCCCTAGCCCCACTGGCAAGTTTGTGCCAGACACCAGACCTGGAAGCCGTGGGAGTGGAGCCCTTACCACGTCAAGGGCTGTTTTCCCCACTTGGAAGCAGGAGGTTGGGCTGGAGTCATGCTAAGGAAAGAAAGATGAGGCAGTTCCCTCCTCTGAAGTCTGGGGCTCTCTGGCTCTCCGCAGGTCCCGGCGTGACGCACGTGATAGTGCGGGAGGACCCCTGCTACAGCTCGGGCGCCCCGCTGGCCATGGGCATGCTGGCTGGGGCCGCCACAGGCGCCGCGCTGGGCTCGCTCATGTGGTCGCCCTGCTGGTTCTGACCCCTGGGACCTGGACCCTGCTCTTAGCTCTGTGGGCCCTGCTCTTAGCACTAGCCCCCTTTACCCCTTGGATCCCACCATCCACACCACTCCTATTTGACCCTCTCCTCTCCATTACCCACTTCCGGGCTTGAACTTTCTTTCCTACTCCCTTCTCCCAATTCACAAAGAAGCTGTCATCTCAGGCAGGAACATGGCTAGAAATCCCCACATCCGGACCTCCCAGAAATCTCTTACAGACACATATGCATATATTTCTTACAAACACACCAGGAAGTTGCAAACAACTGCATGTGGCTTCAGATTCCCCAGGCGCTGGGGTGACAACGTGAACAGGGCTCCCTGCGCTTTCCTGGTGGAGCGCCAGGCCTGGCGAGGGAAACAGGAGCAAACACACACTTGACTAAGCTGCAGTTATCTATGCTTTGACTAGGCTGTGGAGGGGAAGGGAGCAAGGCAGGTAGGCTGGGAGGGCCGCTGCTATAGTCCGAAGAGTTAAAGGAGAGGTCATTTGGGCTGGGCTGGGCTGGGCTGGGGGCAAATCCTGGTGAACTGCAGGCTGAGGAGCTTGCCGTTAAAGGGGAGGTGTGAGCTTTTCACAGAAGTTTCATGACTGTACCCATAAATGAGTATTTTAGTACTGACGGTACCCTTACCCAACACTCCGAGGTTAGTTCTGTCCTTTCTACTAGCAGTTTCCTAGGCCCCTCCCCACTATGCAACAACTGAATTTAACCACGGGACTTGGGGGGGGGGGCAGGTGGGCTCCAGCCTTAGGAAGTTGCCTCCATCAGGAAATGCCTTTCTATCCCTGGAGCTGTTCACTGCTGTCTTTCACTTCAGCTTTGTCACTTCCTTAATTCTGGGGGAGATGGCAGTGTTTTCCTCTGGGACTTGACCCAACTTTGTACCAGCCTGGGAAGCACTCCCCTGCCTTGTGCCTGCCTGCAGGCTCTTCATTTGGTCTCCTTCCAGGCTCTTCCCCAGTCCTGTCCCAGTCACCAGTAGAAGTGCTAACATAGTTGCCCAGGACTTGGTGTAGTCCGTTAAAATTCCCCAGCTGACAGTGGTTCTATTGGCTGAGCTGCAGAGATTAATAAAGACGTGGTTGGCTCTAGAACTGGCTCTGGCTTGCTTTGTTCCCCAGGACACCCAGCTTTCCTGAGACTGTTCTGTGACCCAGCATCCACTAGAGCCTTCTCTGATATGAGATGCATTCTGAGGTCAGGCTGGACTGTGACAGAACGTTGTCTGAGCACTTTGGCGCAAGTCACTTAACTTTTCTGGACTTTGCTTTCCTTGCTTATTAGGTGGCAGATTGAAGCCAGGCATCCTGAGGGTCAAGAGGAGAGACTGTCAGGGTCTCTGTTGTCTAAGCTGATAGATGATACAAGGCAGATCTGCCTGCTTTCTGAGAGGCCTGTGGCACTGGAACCTTTCTCAGTGAGTTTTTATCCTAGAGTTGAATCAGTGTGCTCTTATAGAGAGAGCAGGGAAAAGAAATAGCCTGTCTAAGGCCTTCTGATTCTTCAGTGAGAGAAATTTAAGTCAAAGAAGAGAAAATGCTGTGATGCACAACTGCATCCAACTGAATTGGGAAAGCTTTAGGGTCAGGAAGTAGAAATTCAGTTTAAGCCTTGAAGGATTACTAGGGCTTTGGCCATCTGAGAACAGAAGGGCTTTGTACGTAGAAAGAGCTGATGGAAGAATCAGCATGAGCAAAGGCCTTTATACACTGCGTGTGCCCTGTAGTTCCAGAATCAGTCTGTCATGGCAGGGTGCATGGTGAGGAGGTGTGGTAGGGGGTGGAGTGTAGGAGGGACCGGGTTACAGAGAATCCCTCAGGCCAGGCTTGTGAGCATATGGCAGCCTGGGAAGCAGCGATGACATAGGCAAAAGCAAGGTGTAAGAGCCCCTTGAGAAGCCAGTCTGCAGGCATCTGCTGTCAAAGGTCACACACTGTGTGCTCAGAGGACCCAGCAGTAGATCAGACACAGTCCATGCTTTGCAACCTCAGCATGCTACTGAGGGACATCTCTGAGCCTGGCTCTGGTATTGGGCCTACTCTGAGGCCACTGTCCAGGGCACAGTCTTAGGGCTTTTTCAATGTTTATTTAATATGTAGGATATCCCAGGCCATCCAGATTCTTTCCCATGAATGTGGACCAAACATGTGCAAGTTTTGAGTTTGCTGGGCAGAGCCAGCAGCATTTCCGTGCACTACTCAGAGCCTGCCCTGTTTTATTTGTCTCCTAAGTTTCCACAATGCCCGCAGAGCTAAGCATCGCTACTCTTATCTTACCTACACAGATTTACAAAGTAAATTGTCCAAAGGCATGCATTTAGAAACAGGAAACTGGGGCTGGGGATAAGCACCTGCCTTGCAAGCAGGCGGTCGTGAGTTCGATACCTGGTACCGATAAAAATGAAAAAGACAAAAAAAAAAAAAAACCACAACAGAGGAAACAAAAACCGAACACTAAAATGTCATGCTTAAATCCAGACATTAATAATTGTTTATAGAATGAAAGCACAGATTAAGACCAACTATCAGAATGAATAAACAAGCAAGCCCCAAGACATACTGTACTTTCAAATGCAAAGACAATCATAAGTTGAAAGTAGAAGGTCGGGTGATGTGTGTCTCTGTTCTTGACTAGTTGGGAGTCAGAGGCAGGAAGGCTGCTTGAATTTGCAGCCTGCATAGACAATAGAGGGAGACCCATCTCTTAAAAATTAAAAAAAAAAAAAAAAGAAGAAGAAGAAGAAAAAGAAGAAAGTAGAATGATGGAAAAAGATATACCCTGTCAACAGTAAGTATAAGAAAGCAAGAGTAGGCCCAATACCAGGCCCAAGTGTGGTAGTGTGTGCTTGTGATTCCAGCACTCAGGAGACTAAGGTAGTAGGATTACTGCGAGTTTGAGGCCAACCTAGGCTACATAGTGAGTTCACATTTAGTCTGAATTGCAAAGCAAAATCCTTTCTTTAAAAAAATGTGATGCCCGTGTGCGCACTTAGGTCCTTGTGCTTCTTGATTGGTTCGAGTTTGCAATTACTTTGTTTTGCTTTGGTACAGGGACCTTGCACATGCCAGGCACGCACTGTGCCACTGAGCCATATCCTCAGCCCTGCAGTTACAGTCTGTGGGACTACTGCTGGCCTATTGATGTTGGCAGCCCAGAGCAAGTAGTAGACCTTAAATAAATGCATGATGAATGAACTAAAGAAAAAAAACTAAAGTAGCTATTTTAGTATTAAACAATATAGACCTCAAGCCCAAACTTAAAGTACCTGCCTTGCAAGCAGGCGGTCGTGAGTTCAATCCCTGGTACCGATAAAAAGTTAAAAAAGTTTTTAAAAAGCCCAAACTTACTACTAGAAATAAACAGGGTCATTTAAAAAAAGAAGTGGTCAGCCAGACATGGTGATGCATGCCTGTAATCCCAGCACTCAGGAGGATGAGGCTGAAGGATTGCCTTGAGTTCGAGGCCAGCCTCGACTATTTGGTGACATCTTGTCTTTAAAAAAAAAAAAAGATGAATGGTCAACACATCAAGAAGACTAAAGCAGCATTAAGAGAGAAGGATTGTTTGTTTGTTTGCAGTACTGAGAGTGGAACTCACAGTTGTTTTACCACGGAACTACATCTTCAGCCCAAAGTGCCACTAAGTGTTATGACTGATACAATATGTCAACTTGAGAAACTCAGAAGTTTAACTGAGAGACTCAGCAGGGGGCCAGGATCCTTACTTTGTAAATACCATCCTGTGCAAGAGGAGGGCCTAAAGGCTTTGTGAGTGCTATCTGCGCTCTGGGTCAGGGGTGGCCAGCGTACAAATAAGGGAGGAGAAGAGGCATGTTCCCTGCTTTTCCTCTGGCAGCTGTCTTGCAGTGTTGCCCCAGTGCCAGGCCACCCTGCCATACAGCCAGCTGATTATGGACTGAAACCTCCAAAACCTGGAAGCTAAATAAATCTTTCCCTCCTTAATGTTGAGTGTTGGGTATTTTGTCCCAGCAATGAGAGAAAAGTAACCAGGACACTAAGTTTGCCCAGGTATTGTCTTGAATTTCAAATTTTCCTGCCTCAGCCTCCTGAGTACTTCTAGTACTGAGTACTAGAATAGGCCAGCAGTAGTCACACAATCCCAGCACTCCAGAGGCTGAGGCAGGAGGATTCCTGTGAGTTCAAGGCCAGCCTGAACTGCATAGCAAAACCCTGCCAAAAAAAAAAAAAAAAGTCTTAACTTTACAACATAAGGAATTAGAAAAATAGCCAATCCAGTGCTCATAGAAGGAAGGAAATAATAAAGATTACAGAAGGGAAAAATTTAGTGAAACCAGATGTTGGTTCTTTGGAAAGATCAACAAAAATTGATAAATCTTGTCTAAAGAAGAAACAAAGACCAAGAAGAAAAAAAAAAAGAAGACTCAAATTACTAAAATCAGAAAGTGGAAACACTATTATCAGTTGTACATAGATTAAGAAATATTGCCTCTAGGTTTTTAGAACAGTTTGTAAGAAATAAATGAGATTGTAAGAGAATACAACTGTACACTAATAAATAAGATAACCAACAACAACAGACAAATTCCTATGATTATACAAGCTACAAAAACTGACCTATAAAATAATAGAAAATCTGGGCTAGGGCGGTAGCTCAGTGGCACAGCTGTTGCTTGGCGTAGAGGAATGTGCTATTAGGAAGAAGGGCCTGGGTGGAGGAACAGAGTCACGCAGGGCATGACCTGGAATGGCGTCCGTTCGTTTGGTTTTTGTTCTGTTTTTTTTTTTTTTTAATCTGTACCAGGGATTGAACTCATGACCGCCTGCTCGCAAGGCAGGTGTTTTGTTCTGTTTTTGTCCCAGGCTCTCTCAGTTCTCTCTCTGGCTCTCCTCTCTCTCTCTGCTTCCTGGCTGCCATGGGTTGAGCAGCTTTCCTCTGCCAGGCCCTTCCACCATGCTATGTCTGCTTTAGAGACAGCCAATGACGAGTGGAACTCCCTGAAACCATGTACCAAAATAAACCTTTTTCATCTAACCTGTGTGTGTGTGGTACCTTGTCCTTCCAGTGACAGAATGACTAGTACTTATTATCTATACATTGACAATAAAAAATCTGAAAAGGAAATTACAAAAAGTTCTATTTACAATACCATCAAAAAGTTCTGAACTGTAACTATAAAACTGTTAGAACAAAACACATGAGAAAATTTCCATAATGATGAATTTGGCAATGGTTTCTTGGTTATGATATCAAGAACTCAGGCAACAATGACAACTATTGAAAAAATAATTTTGGCCAGGCATGGTGATGCACACCTGTAATTCTAGCACTTGAGAGGCTGAGGCAGGAGGATCACCATGAGTGTGAGGCCAGCCTGGGCTACATAGTGAGTTCAAGGCCAACCTGAATTACATAGTGAGACTGTCTCAAAAACAAAAACAAGAGCCAGGGATTTAGCTCAGTGACCTAAGTGCCTGCCTGGCAAGCTCATGGTCACGAGTTCGATCCCTGTGCCAAAAAAAGTAAAGCAATATGTAAAGCTGCAGAAAATGTTTTAAAAATCCATTTGATAAAGGATTGATATCTATACTACCTAAAGAAATCTAAAAACTCAAAAGTAAAAATAAAATCAAAACCAAATAACCTAATTTATAATTTCATGAAGGACTTGAATAGACATTTCACCTAAGAATATATACAAACAGCCAATATGCACATGGAGATGTTCAACATCTCTTATTCATTAAGGGGGTGCAAACTCAATGAGATACCAATTCACACCTATTAGGATGGCTACTTTAAACAACGTGGGGGGCTAGGGATGTGGCTTATTGGTAATGTGCTTGACTAGCTACCTAGCAAGCCAACAAGTAAGTAAATAAAGTTGATGTAAATAAATTGGAATATTCGTACACTGCTAGTGGGAATGTAAAATGATGCAGCTACTATGCAAAAGGTTTCCAAAAGCTAAACACAGAATTATATGACATAGTAATTCTATTCTAAGGTAGAAAAATTCAGGTGTCCATCAATAGATGAGTGGATAAATCAAATACTTTAAACACCTCAGTTCAAAAATGCTTCTGTTCCAGGACTATTAGGTTCACAAAAAGAA